ACTGTGGCGCGCACGGCCAGCTTCGCCTGGTACAAATCTTCCAAGAGGTTCTTGGCCACCGGCTCCTCAGTCAAGAGGTGCGCGACAAAGGCACACGCGAACAAAATGATCCCGCAAAGCATGAGCATGTTACCCTTGCTGAGTTGGGAAACAAGGTGGCAGTCATTGTTGAGTATCACTTACCCGATGAACAGGAGACCAGCAGCAGCAGCTCTTCCAGTTCCGATGATGAAGATCAAAAGCAAGCTCATCAGGCGTATGTGGAACAAAAAAAGACCGCCCCGACTGGAACTATCATTCCTGAGCTTGCAAACCTGGGGGTGTACGCGCAGTCTGTCAAGCCTGTTAACAACTCATGGTTCGAAGCCGATCTTGAAAATGCACCACACCACCAGCTCATCAATGTCTCTGAATCTGGTCTCAAGAGTCATCTCCCAGCCAACAGCGCAAAGATTGCTCGCCATAACGCCCACCATTTGATGCGTGTCTACCCCAAGGGCACTAGAATCTCCTCCAAGAACCTAGCCCCCGTCCCTTTTTGGAGTATCGGCGCACAGATATGCGCGCTTAACTGGCAAACCTTTGGCGCGAGCTCGCAGATTAACGAAGCGCTCTTCACTGGCTCCAGCGGATACGTCCTCAAGCCTGCGGCCCTACGCGCGGGTGGCTCTGGAAACCTTGGCACTGGAAGGCGGAAGCAGCTCCGACTACACGTCGCGGGTGCGACGGACATTCCTCTGCCCAAAACACGCGACCCCAACGAGATCAAGCCTTATCTAACATGCACACTTGTCCACCCCAACGACCTGAACAACATGCCTCCAAAGCGCAAGACCGCCGTCTACAAACCCCATAAGCTTACTGGGTTTATGCACAAAGACAACCCACCTGCCACTGAGCCCCTGTGGAAGGAAGTACTTGAATGGGAGTACGAGGATAACGAGATGATCTTCTTGCGCATGTTGATCAAGAGTGATGACAGTTTCTCCAAGAATCCGCTTTTTGCCGTTGCGGCTGTGAGACTGATGTACGTTGTGTCGGATTGGGTTTTTGTGCGTATGTTTGACCTGGCTGGACATGAAACGGCGTGTACGATACTTGTCAAGTTTGAGTTTCTAGACATCTAGAAGTATTGAACTTGGAGTATTGGAGTAGGAAAGGCCCGGGCGGCCTACTCGAGGGCCTTGTCGTTTGGGTTTCCCTGCGCAGATAGGAAGTTGTCGTAGTTTCTGAAGGGGCTGCAGATTTTAGTACCCCTATCATCCTATTTTTCTTAGTGCTATAGGCCCGCCTACTACCTATACAGTGTTTTAGAGTATCAGTTGTCAAGGGTGACTACTGGGGACGCTACTCACCCCTTGATATTGCGCAATTCAAAGTCCCATATCCTTGCACATCATCATCTCCAAAAAAACCGTTAAATATCACCATCAATGTGGATCCTGCTCTCTAATTTCCCATCCTCTTCTCCAAAACAAAATACCATACATATACCCCTACTCCAAAACGCACACTCCACCACTTTCAGCCTGACAAGCAGAGCATAACTTCCCTTCCTCCCCACTTATCCATTCTATCCACCAACGCCTCCAAAACCGTTGATCTCCACCATATACGAACACCCAGCGCATTCGCCCCCCTACGCAAGGCCCCCAAGCGCAAACGCAAACGTCAATACTTCCGATGCAGACGCAACAACTTCCCAGCCATACATAGACTCCGCATCTGCATCCTTCAATGCCGGTAGTCTCATAGGTGTACGCATGTCTACGTCATCCAAGCATCACTCTCGTACTCCTTCTCGCACCACGCAACCCTTTTCCGTGTTGCGATCGCCGCCAAACCCCCCGTACTCGCCTGCGATACGCAAGGTGCGCACAGCGCGTTTGGATAAGTACGTAGCGCGATTGAAGCGGGGGACGGGCCGTGGGGGTGTAGGCGAGGCGAGGCGCGGTGCGGTGCGGTGCGGTGGGGCAAACTAGGGTAGTAGGGCACATGGGTGCGTGGCGTTGATGTGGATGCCCTTGTTTCCCCTTCGCAGCTCCAGCCTGTTTGCGAGGGTTGTCGTTGTCGGAAGGGAAAAAAGAAATGAGGGAGCATGGACATGGGGTTCTTTGCCTTTTTTTCGGGGAATTGATAGGGCGACGGCGGGTGGGCTGGGAGCGAGCGGACTGCGGGTGCTAGAGGCCATGCGTCGAGTATACCTACCTAGGTGCATCTATAGACGGGGATTAGGCCTGCATAGATATGCAACTTCAGATGCACCGACGATTCATGAGTGCTGCGGGTTGTGGAAATGGGGAAACGGCGTGCTGGTCCCCTTGTTATCTATGCGGAGGCGAATGGTAGCGTGCGGAGGATCGGTGGTGGATCTGACTGGGTCGAAGGAACGCGTGGCATTGGCGTGGTGCTATATTGTTTATGCAGAGGTGTGAAGTTGGTGCGTCAAGGTTGATTGGCTGGGTTAAAGAGTGGAAACGTAGACTTGCGAAGGAGGCTGTGTAGAGTAGGATGCAGCTGTGTGGCAAAGAACGTCGCCTATCAGGTTGGCATGAAAGGTGTGGAAAAGGATCTTTGAGTAATCATAATACTCAATATCTGGCAATAGTGTATTGTCAGAAGAAGGAAAAAATGCGTCATTATAGCTCAAGTGTGCGGAGCTATCAAACTTTGTCACCACTACGCAGTGGGTCCTTTGTTCGCTCGCGTATCTCCTGCGCAGGCGCAAGCCCATCTCTTTCTAGAATGTGATTCGGAATCACAGCACCCTCCTCAGTCTTGTCGTAATTCGTGTCTGTCATGTGGTAGAAGCCCAGATAATAGAAGCTGGCAATGCCCATGACATAGAAAAGCAATATGCCTCCTGCCTCGGCAATAAATGGAATTTTGATGCTGTCGAGACCAAAGCAGATCGCTTCACCGGCGCCAAGTACGCCACGGAAAATGCCCACATAGTGTGTGAGTTTCTGCGGTGAGTTGGTCAATGCGCCGATCCAGTAATATACTATGTTGTGCCAGAGCTGGGAAAAGACCCAGTTGAGCATGAAGAGGACGAATACCCAACCAAAGTTCGCATCTTCCCAATCGGTGGGGTGACTTGGAGGGTGGTTACGGTCGTAATTGCGAGTGCGGATCTGGCTGGTGTTAATAGGTTGTATTCAAATGTAGAGTGGATGACGTACCATTTCCCATACCCACGCAATGACAAGAGGCACACAAACACCAGTCAGCCCAACTAGTCCTCGTTTACGTCGGCCCCAGCCTGGATAGTCTAGAACCCATTGTAAAGCCCATCCTGCGGGGATTTGCAGGACAACAGCAATAAATGACAGCAGGGATCGTGTGCGAAGATTGTTGTTGAACGCTAGAAGTATGTAAGCAGTATACCAAATGGTTTGGTAGTAAATACTCACCATTCACTGACCCGCTGTACACGAGAAAACCCTCGGACGGAAGAAAGGCGGGGAGCATTAAAACCAAGATTGGGTCTGTGAACGCGAGCAAGTTTGCCTTCAGCTCATCCCAAGCCCCTCTTGGGCGATCGACGGCTACAACTGACCCGTCGTCTCTCGTGAGCCTGTGAGGTCGAAGCAAGAACAAGCAGAGCAAACCACCGACAACCATGATAGTTATGAATGAAATGTATACCGACCGAGGGACTCCCGCGACAGTCTCAGAGTCTCGGTTGATGATCACAGGAATGATACCGCTGATGACAGAGCCAAGAGCCTGCATGTTCATCAAAATAGTTGCGTAGGATCCTTTCTCGCTCTCCTCGGGATATCCAGTAGCAACATATCCAGCAGTGATGAAGACCATTCCCGCGCCAATTCCAATAATGGGACCAGCAGCATAAGGATAGCCAGTCTTGCCCGTCTCATCGTAGTACCACAGCGACCCGACGTAGACAGCGTATGTTTGAACACCGATGCACATGGTAAGGCCAGGCCCGAGTTTATTCAAGATGGAGCCCCCGAAGGAAGAGGAGAAGAACCATACTATCTCTGTTATCAACGGCCTGAGACACAAAGCTCCAGCCTTCTTTTACCTGCACACAGTGTCGCGTTGACAACCTGGACAACCTGGGCCGAATCGGGCCTTCCACCCCCAGCACCCAGTAGATTCAGAGCAACGTAAATGCCAGCGGAAGAGCCAACTCCCAGGCCAGCAATCAACATTTGAGCCCACGGTCCATGGTAGCGGAATTGGGGCAGGTTCAAAAGTCCCATAACGCTTGATGCTTTTGAAAAACAAAAAAAAGATTAGAACAAAACACTACGACACACGAGTGAATCAGAAGCAAACTGAACAACTTTCAGTCCAGGGAAAATTGTCGCAGTGACAAGAGGAACGAAAAGGACAGGTTAGTGTGGGAAACATTAGCTTTAAACCAGCAATCTTCATGGATTCGCACACCCATCCATAATTCCAAAAGGCCAGGGTGCTTTGATATAGCGCCATGCAAAGCGACAGGAACCCACGCATCCCAACACGGGAGCAGAAACAAGGGTTCACAGCGGGTCGAGGCGTTGACCGATAAACAAGACTCAAGAGAATAAGGGACTAGGGTTGCATTATGTGGCTGTTAGGGTGGTCGCTGATCCACCTGCTGCCATTCGGTGGGTAAAAACGTCACTAGGGTCTAGATGGGGGTTCGTGGCTAGCGCGAAATGCAAAAACTGGTCCGGCACCGAACCACACACTGGGGGTGATAACGGCGCGTGTAAAGTTCAAAAGACAGGTCCCTGTGTCAAACTATCTGACTCGTCAAGCGCATGTTAGACCTATCTACCAGTCATTGGCGGTAAGATTCGACAGTAGGGACGTTGAGAGTTGGAGGCCATTGGAGACGCCTAGACCTTTGCACTGGCTGGGCACATTATGCTGAAACACAGTTTAGTGAGTTTCGGAGAGAATAGTGGCGGGCTGAATCCATAGTACACCAACGGCATTTTTTGAAGTAGAAGATTGCTGTGAAGATTGCTCTACCATTCATTTCCCTAATCCCACACCTGACGACAACTGACATTGATGCGCTTGGTGCTCATGTAACCCTTCCATTTCTTGTAAGCTTTCTCTTCCGCTGAAGTTGCTCCAGGAGTGCCGACTGGCCAACTGGCAAGATGAGGCGGACATGTGCTTGGTATACAGCGAGCCATTGCATGCCAAGCCCACCGTGCATCGCCTGTCAAGTGCACGACGTCGCCGCTATGGACGCGAATAGCGACGCTCCTCGGAGAATTTTCTCCTTGTCCATTATCCTCGCCCTTTGCCATGATAAATATGCCGTCGCAACCCACACTGAAGCTCGCGAGTGCACGTTGGCATTGCTCGCTTACATCGCGATGTACGGGCATGAAATCCTTGGCCGAGTACATTAACACTACGCCAGACTCGGGCCGGATATGAGGAAAAAGACCAGTGACTAGCCTTGATAAGTCTTCAGGAAATGGAGTAGCATGTTTGGCGTAGCTGCGAGTCGGCCAGTCGTACTGTTCGCCGAGTGTGAGCCATCGGAGTTTTGAGTAAAGAAACTGCTCGTTGTTTAATGGCTTTTGCTTGTCGGGTGACTTTGGTATAAGACAGTCAGCCTCAGCTGCCCGATCGCGAAGAAAAAAGTTGCTGTCAAATCGCGAGGGCTCGGACGTGGGCTTAGGGGGATATGGGATCTCGAAATCGGCTTGGAGGTTGATCTTGTGTCCAGGGTCCGCCAGATCCCTGTGCATCAAGCATGATGTGAACAAAACCTGCGTCTCAGGAGGAAGCAGTCTTGAGATGACTTGGAGACCGGGGAAATCACGATGTTCGAAGATTTGCGCGTCTTCTACTGGTGCTGATAATGGTTTACCGCCAGCGTAAGCCATACAAGCAACTTCAATCTGAGCTGCTGGAATGATGCCGGCAGGACGCCAAATGTCTTTCCAATCTTCGCTGAACTCGCTACGTTTGCTGAGGTCAAAGATGTCTGGGTCATTCTCTAAGTCGACTTTGCGCATGCTCTGGTAGCGCCAATGCTCCTTTTGGATGAACTGTGGTGGGGTAGCATGTGTGTCATGATGCACAGAACCCTTCTACGTTCCCTGTCAGCAAGACCCATTCAAACTCATGTGAGAGACATACGAACGCGTTCGGTGGCATCCGTTGACAAGTCCATGGCGAGAGTGCAGCGACAAAAGCGTTGCGGGGCAGGACGTGTTGGTGCGCGGAATAGGAACTGCCTCGGAAGTGAGACAGTCAGTCGCCTCAGATTTTGCATCAACCAGAAACTGATGATAAGATGTATGCCTATAGTTCAATTGGACAAGTTATTGCGTCACTGCCATGCAGGGAAGAAAAGGAAAAGGCTTCATGGCAAGCCACCTCGTGGGTGAGCTTATCGATAAGCGCCACATTTTCCATTTTGCACCAAGTACTAGTATTAGCAATACATGTGTATATACTCACTTTTGATTCTATGCCAGTACCAGATCGTGGTAGCGTTTCTCGAAAACGTCGTTATAAAATCACCAAAGAGGTTAATTTAAGGTTATTCATAGAATTAACCACATTTTATTATACACATATCCCAGAAATATCTATCATGACAGTTCAAACCGTAAAAGAGCTCCAGGCGAAAGCAAACTTCCCACGGAACGTGCTCGGGCTTCTGTAATTCTATTGTAACCTAACTCTCATCTACCTCTAACTCAAGCACTTTAAAAATCAGATTTCTTGTTAACAATATATCTTCCTATTGGAACAACTTACAGTACCAAATGGAATCTGGGGCATAATCTTTACACAACTTCCCTGACAGCACCCTTTTTCATCAGAGCATACTTCACGAGGCTATTTAAATTCTCGATTAGAAACTTTTCGTTTTAGTCAACAGGTATGTCGTTTGTTCTCACCCCAACACACTCCCGAGGTGCAAGTTGAACACCATGTTGGGTGCTTTCATGCGTAATAGCTGGTACAGCGTAGACCATAGAGATCATCAGAACTATATTAACGATGTGAAGTCTCATGTTTGAGCAATATAGTATGTCTGTGAATAGTTAGATGTTGGTTTGGTGTGGATAGAAAATTTATCTTCACTATATTGTAAGCCCATATATATATGCGGCTTTTCTTGATGCCTATTGCCTATTCCGAAAGGTGTCCTTCTCAACATGATTTGTTTTATGTAGATACAACATAGCTATCCGCTCCCCGGAAATGAAAGAATAAGATCTGCAGTATTTGCTTTTTATCGAAGCGGTGTAGTATTTCTTTTAATGAAGGAGAAAAACCTGTAAGTGTGAGAACACCCCCCAAAGAGGTACAGCATACTGCATGTTAGTATCTGGAGCTGGATAGATATATGCATGTAACAGTCAGTGTCACATGATCTAGATCTAAGGCTACTACAACCAAAAAGGTACAAGTGATTAGCATTGTGATGATGACCCTACACAGGGTTGTATGTATAGTTAGCTATGTCTAACCTCTAATAGCCCTATGGATATCTAATAGGAGCCTAAGAGCTTTCTTTTTGATCTCATTCCAAGGCCACAGGATGATGAATCACTAAAATGTCCTAGCTCATAAAAAGTGTTGAGTGCTAAGTGTTCAATGTTCAGTGCTACGTGTTCAGTGCTGAGTGTTCAGTATCAAGACAGTAGATGATCCTATATTACATACTATGTGGTTCCAAAAAAGATATATATACACCTCTTCTTCCTCAAACAGATTGCTTACCTAACGTAATAGCCACAACGATAACTATAACCATTACCACCATCACTATTATAAAAACAACAAGAACGATGCGGTTCGCTCTCTTTACCACTGTTGCCTTTCTAGGCCTGACCACCACCGCCACCATCGTACCCAGACGCGGCGAAACTTCTAAACGCAATACTAATGTCTGCCCTGGCGCTGATTATCCGCGGTGCTGCGAAACGAACGATGATGGTGTTGTTGTAGCCTGTATATACCGTACGTAACTTCTCTTGTTGTTAATAGCTTTATTCTTCCTCATCGCTATAATTTCAAACCCTATGCTTACTGATACCATCCCAGCTGGGAACGTTGGTTCGATGGAGGATTTTAAGAACGCTTGTAAATATATGAACAAAAAGGATCAAGAAGAAGGCAAAAGACGACACGGACACAAACATAGCAAAGAACGCCGCAAACACAGAAAGGACAAAGAAGAGGAAGAAGGCGAAGAAGGCGAAGAAGGTCATGAACGCGGGGAAGGCCACGAACACGAAAAAGAAGAAGAAGAAGAAGAAGAAGAAGAAGGCAAAGAATACCGCCAAGGGAAACAGCCTATGTGCTGTCGTTCTTCTGACAAACAGATTGTACCAGATGTCGGAGGACTGTTTGGTCGTGCTGTGACTGATAATGATTGCTCAGATTTAGCGGGTTAGTTCGCTTTTATGCTGGAGAAGGGAAAAACAGGGGTACATACATATAATCGGGTCATAGACAGGACCTAGTATATAGTCTTTCGTTTTGTGGATATTTCATTTGTTTCAATAATGTAACCGGCTACGCCTCCATCTCTTACTATAGAATCAAGCTGTGAGTGTTGTTGAATTATAGAATTGCTGCCTGTTCTTAAATAGGTCAACATGGGAATATATAATACTAATTACATGCTGAAGTTGTTGACTCCGAACAATATGCGCCCATCACTACTAGGCTCAACGTAGGCGGGTAGAATTTCCAACTACAACAAGTGGGGGTTGCAGAAAACTGATGTTTATTGTTACGACATGGCGGCTGCGGCAGGCATTTCGTCAGACCATCTCTACCCACTAAACCTAGCTTTGGATGGAGATTGCACTGGTCTTTGGTCGAACTACGTATATTGTATTGATGTGGCGTAAAGACGTGGTAAATGATGTTGAACAAGCAGAAAGGATATGGACCGGTGGAGAATAACACATGAACTTTTCTTCGCACCACTTCCGGTACTTTACATGTGTATAGCGTTATAACTTCGAGTGACGGTCTATTCCTCCTCGCGGAAACGCAACTGCCTCTCACAAATCTCAAAGACATTTTCCCACTTACCATCAATATCGACCTCGTCACCACCCACAATCTTGATTCCCATCTTCGCAGCCGCAGCTTTGACGTCTTTCATAACCTCAGCGGCATCCTTGTACCGACCATTCTCAGCATTCGCGATAATGGTGCCTAGGCTTACATCTTCAATTTCGTCGGGAATCCCGTCTTGCAACGCGGACGCATCTGCAAAGACGTTGTTGACGAGGTATTTGACAAATATAGCCCAATAGTACCTAGAATTCACGCCTAGTTAGAGCTGCACTTGCCAAACAGATCAGCGGTACTAACAAGTCTTCTTTCACGCTCCCATGCTCCTCGTCTCCTTCGTAAATAGCATCGCTCACGCTACCATCTATAATCCACTCGCCATCGCTAAACGGCCATGGCGCATACCCCTCCTCCCTAACCCTACGATCAAACTCTTCCAGCGTCATCGGGTTCGGATACGCAGAATCCTGCAGGCGTTCCCTTGCGCTAGCAATGCCATCCTGTTTGTTTTCCTCTTCAATCTGCGGTGCTGATGCGGCAAGGAACCCCGTGATTGCGAGCGAGAAATCCGACCTTAGCCACACGAGCTCCGTGCAAAAGTTTCGGATGAACACGGATCGCGAGTGGGCGAATTGCAACGCTGAGAGCACCTGCAATGCCCACCGATAGTACAGGCTCAGCATCAAGCGGCCATTTTCTGACAGGTCTTGCAGGAGAGGTACAGTCAGTGCTGGAAGCGAGTGCCACTCAATAGGTCCAGGCTCGAGCCTCTCGACAACAACGCCAATGTCGCTTTCCAGCGGCCTAAGATATCTATTTTGGTGAGATGAAAAACATAATGATTCTCTGAAGAAAAAAACAACGTACCGGACGATCCTGGGATGTCCCTCTCCAGGAAGTTCATACGCTCCTCTCAAGCGCTTGCGCGCCCAACCCGGCCTTGCTCGCGAGTCTGGCTCAATGTCTTCGGGGGCTTCCAGGATAAGTATGCCCTTGCCGTCCTTGTGAGGGAGACAGAACAAGGTTTCGAAGAAATGAGAATACCAGTCCTGTACGTCATCGGGGGCTTTGCTTGCTTCTTCGGGGAGATCATCTTCTGGAAAAGAAATTATGTAGTTTTTGGCTGGACGGGGCGGTGGGACTTTGGATGAGAGGAAAGAATCCATAATAGCCATTCCCTAGTATTCAAGAAAAACTAGCAATGTGGCGGTTTGACGGTACTGCGCGTAGTTGCGGTGTTTGTTTGGTTTTGTGTTGTGATCAAGTCGAATAGGTATCAGTAGGGATATCTGGCTGTCGCACCGTTAGGTGCGGAATATCAGGTATATACGTAGAAATGCCCGAACAGAGTAAATATCATCAACTGCAACATCTCAGCTCATCCTACATGAAGGCCATTTCGCAGCGTCATTAGTAGTAAATGTTCCCGACAGTGTTTGGCTGAGTAGGCTATGCCTGGCGTAAGATAGAAACAGCCGGGCTTTGGTGACAAAACGGTACTATAGTAGGTGGCTCGTGCATGCCGCCCGCTGAGTAAACGAAGGCCGGCATCCTTCCTCACGTATGAGTAATGTCCCAGTAGCATGAACGCCTTATCGGAGAATTCCAGTTCTAGGCATAGCCGCGGCTAGCCTGATATAATGGTATAGAGAGGGGGCATATAACTGTACAAATAGTTAATACTACTGTGCAAGCCAGTATCACTGCGAACGTTCTAACGGCTACTAAGAATAGAATGGTACGTGTGAATAATTACCAAAATAGTGCAGAGCCGCTGGTTGGCCCAAGCAGAAGACATGATTGAAACGTTCGTGAGCCTAGTCTTTCTATCAATCAGGAAGTACGAGACGAGGCTGGGATAACGAGAGAGAAAGGGAACCTCCGATGGTGAATTGTCTCAATACTCTAGATTCACAATTTCCCATGTCCACATAAACTAGTCGTTAATATTATTCCCTTCTTGTATCTACGTCAAACGGCAATAAATACCAAATTGGAAAAACCTTATCCATAACTGCCTTATTAGCCCAGACCCCCTGCCACCATCACAACAAGCAAAGAGCTCTAGAAACTGAAAACCCCGAGTATCGCGATATCCCTAATGTCGAATATTCATAGGACTCTTGTTCATTTCCTATATTACACCAAACAGAATTGACTAAATTACTTTTCATGCCCACATACTTAATTAGGGTCATTATGACATCAGCAAAGCAAAAAAGAAAAACTGGCATGGATGAAAACGGCAGTCAAATAACAAAATGTTTAATATACAATCACCACATGCATACCCCATTCGCGTCGTGCCGTGCTCAAAGCCGCATCGAACCAATTTCAAACAGGATATTAACTCAAACCCATACTTTATACATCCACCATTCTAACCGCCATTGCACCCAATGCATTTCACCTAGAAAATCGCAATAGCCCCCGGCGGACTCCCAATCCCACCCCTAACATGCAACGGCGCGCTTGTCAAAAAGAAACTATACCTCCCTTCCTCCTTACACTTGTCACTCAGTTTCTCCAAATCCCACATTTCGCCAATGGCCGTACCCCAATGCACAAGTAACCACTCATGCAAACACCATCCGTCTTGGAATTTCGGGGGCCACGCCTCAAGAGCGACATTGTCGGCAGCAATGGCCGCCAAGTGGCAGTCGTAAAGCCAGCGGACGGTGCGCTCCGAGGATTCCAGGCCAATGGCAACGTTGTTGTCCTGGGTGCCTGATTTGCGCTCTGCTTCTGTTGCATTACTACATCCCATTAGCTCCTCATCCAACCATCCGCGCTTTCTCCCCCCTTCAAGACCTCCGGGGGTAAAAGGAAAAAGAGAAAGGAAAAAAAACGTACTTATGCCACCTTACATACCCCGTCCTCACCACCAACACATCCCCTTGTCTAACCTCGGTCCCCTGCCACTTAAGCGTCTCCTGCACCTCCTCGACCGGAATTGCATGCCTCGACACCGCACTCGGCGCTCCTTTCCCCTTGGTCTCCTCATACCACCTCAACCAATCACACAGCACACCCCTGCCCACTATGCCCCCGCGCTCACACCACTTATGCGTGCCATTCGTATCGCTCTTGGCCGCCTCCGCATGCGTGAGCCCATTGTAATACGTACCCGTTGCCTGATGCGCAAAGTGCTTTAGAGAATCCCATTGCGAACCTGCCTGCGTGTTGATGTGCAGTTCGTCGTCGTTTGCACAGAGCGAAGAGAAGGTGCCGAAGTCGATTTGTTTTTGCGAAAAGGGTTTGCGGTTGAAACCGGGGAATTGCACATTGTGTAGTTCCCAGTCGAGTTGGATCGAGGTGCCTGTACGAATTTCTTCTGAAGCGGCGCGTTTGACGACCGAGGGGGTGAGGAGGTTGATTGCTTTGGGGGTAGTTTAGTTTGACGTGTATGGGTGGGAGAAGGGAGGACGTACTTCCTACTTCATCTTTCTTGCCGTCTTCGTCGAAGAAACCCCAGAGATTGCCTTGGGGCTTTTGAATATACCCATGTCAGTTCTCATATCTTTCCAAATAACCCGCATCCGCCCCTCCCTTAGAAAAAAAATGTATACCATGTCAAAAAAAAAGAAGCAAACTTACCATACCCTCAACCTTTGGCGCCTCATCAAAAGCCGGGAACTTGTATTCTTTCGAAGCCATTATATGTTCTCAATTCAATTCCAATTCCAACAAACTAACAAACTCTCGTACTACAGTTTCCATGGGTAAAACTAAGGTACACACTTTCCAACCCACCCACGCCTCTTTTATACCTCCACCTCCCCCCCCCCTCCCCCCAATACCCCACACACACACCCGGCTCCCTCTCACGACCATGTACACCTACTTACCCCGCTCCAAAACATGAACAAACTTTCTGCTCAGTTTGAGCGAACTCGGACGCCCCTCGTGCCCCTTCTTGTCGCCCCAGTTTTTTTTTTCGAATGACGTGTAGCTCCATCATTTCCCCGTTGTGCGGAAGCGGAGCTTGCTAACAAGATTGCGGGGGGGAATGATTTGCTGTTTGCACACACAATTCGGGTACTAGCGGTTGTTGGTTGCTTCCGAGAGGTGGAGTGAGATGGCTGTTTGGGGCTTAGTGCTGTTACCGAGCTGAGGTAATCCGTCTGTCCGGTCGGGCAATGTTACTCCGCTCTGTTATTGACCTTACCGTCGGTCATAACCAATTGCGGTAGGCTGCTGAGATTTGTCCCCAAGGTTTTGAGATTTGTCCCCAAGATGAGATTTGTCCCCAACGCTAGTGCTAGTGTAAACTTTCTCTCCAACTTAGCTTAGTGCGTAATCTTCGAATCCGCCATATCCGCACCACTACTAGATATTTACTGCAGGTAAACGCTCATCGAAAAACGTAGCTGTCTAGCTTATTTTCTTATTCTTGAACAACATGGGCGATATTACACCTCC